TTTACAAATGACACATAAAAAGTTATATAACAAAAATTGATACACAGTATATTTTTATTCAAATACATTAGTTACAATAATTCAACTTATGAACAACGAAACATGATAAAAGTACGTGTGTCACAAATGATATAAATACAAATATTTATAATTCATTTAAAATTAAATAGATTAACTTTATAATGTCATCATTGATATTGAAATATTCAATTTCAGTTGTTTTACACCAACTCATGATCTGAATTAAAGTATTTTTTTTAACTGTAACAATATGAAAATAATATTAAATTAAAAAATTCAGCAAGTTGAGTAAAAGTATAAGCATGATAATTTCTTTGAAAGCTATTAAAAGCCGACTTTTATGTATTTCCTCGTATTCGTCTGTTGGTTTCTTAATTTTCATGAGATGTCTGCTATGTGCGTATATGCGTGTTTTGTGTTAAAGCAAATTGCATACCGACTTGAAGATAATCGCTTCGTAATGATAGAGTCTAACTCTTGAGTAAAGGATACAAGGTCGTGCCTCGTGGAACATTATAGAATACATGATCAGTAGAAAATGTTATAATAGAGCAACGGTCCTTTTTAACTATCATCAAAGAAACTGTTTCAAAAAAGAAAAAGACAGTCTCAATATTCAAAAGTTGAATAAAAATGAGATATTTATAAAATTTACTGCATTTATTCCAAAATGGGAAAATTGAAAAATTCCAATAATTATTATGGAGCTACAATAGTAAACATTTTTTTTCATTTATTGCATAATAAAATCAATTCAGTTTCACTATTGTAATAATTTGATATTTTAATTGAAGAGCATGTATACAAGCATCTATACAGTATCTATATATGATTGTCATTGATGTATGCAAATTGACTTTATATTATAATAATTAATAAAGTTGTGCTTTATAAAATAGTAATTCGAATATCGAATAACATTAGAAGGGTTTCAATATTTTACCTTTTAATATTATCTCGCTTTATAATACCCTTTTATTTTGTCTCATTTCATCTCATTTCGTTACTCCTCTTTTTCTTTCTCTCTCTCTTTCTCTCTCTTTCTCTCTTTAATTTTTTTGATGTATTGATTGCTTTCTTTATTATTTATCTTTATATCTATATGGTATGTCAATCTTTTGTGCGTAGAACGGTGACAAGGAATAAATGATTCTACTTAATAACAGCTTCGCGATCACTATTCGGGAGACACCGAACGTAGAGTAGAACGAAACGTTATCTTGTGGTATGCGCAAGTGGCCATCTTCAAGTCCTTTCTGCCGGCCGTATTAAAACGTTAATCTCCGCACTCTACTACCGGTTATATATTCAGATCGGCTCCTCCCTGTCCATCTTCTTTCTCTATTTCTCTCCCGTCGACTGCTCGCGCGGTCTTTCTGACCGTTCATCCTCTCACTTCTCGTTTTGCCCGCCCCCCGCTGCCCACCATCACGTATGGCTACTTCGACTTACATATAGATCGCATGATCGAGTCGAACGGAGAATCCGTGGCGTCTGACGATTTCTCAACATTTCATGATTGCTTTGAGAAAAGTTAAAATTTTCGTGAATAAATCAATTCTTTAGTTATCTATCTAAAATATAATAAATTTCAATTTATTTAATTTATTTGTTTAAATTTTTTACAATTATTTAAATGTAATATATAGTTTATATGTAATTAGATAAATTGATCAGATCAATTTATTTTATCAGAATTTTATTATTTTCTTTGTCTGTATACTATGTGAAATGTGGTATTATTATCATAAAATATAATTATATTATGGTGGCACCAAGCATAGTAATTGTACTTGGAATACCTAATATTCAAAGTCAAATCTAATATTTGTGATACTCTACAACTAATAACTAAACTATACAGAATTAATTAGTATAGTTTATTATAAATATGTACAGGTAAAAGGATTTATTCTTCGATAAAGCATAAAAGCCTTGTTTGAAACAGTTCATATTTCGTTGTCAATCTATAAAATATGACATATTAATCAGTCATATTTTACGAATAAATTTTAATATATTGTTAATCTCATTAATAAAATTACTTCCATTTTCAAAAGTCATTGGGATAAAGGATGTAGTGCGATAACTGACATTTATAATATTACTAATTAACCTATTAAAACTCGTTTATTGGTATAAAAGGTGCTAATAAAGTTTCAGCAGAGTTATACAAAAAAGCTAAACAAACTTGAATAAAGAAGAGCAAAAATATACTAAGAAAATAAATACTAACTACTAGTAGTAAGAGTGTTGTTGGAGCATCTTCCATTTCCAATTACCATCGGTAAAGAATTAAACGCCTAAATAATGTTTTGTCACACTATTTGATTAAGACGAGCGATTGTTTTTGGATTTAAAAAAAACTTTGAATTCTTTCACATTTAGGTAGTAAGTGTTCGAAGTAAATTTATGAATTTAAGCTCTATTTTATTCTAGTAACCTTTTGTATAAAAATACTTTATAAAGATTCATAAATGCTATATAAGATATATACGCTTTATAAGCTTTACATATATGAAATAACAATAAATTATCTTTTTAGTATAAGAAAAATAGATGAGTAATATAATAGACAAATTCTTTAATTTGATAATAACTAGATAAATCTATAAGTAATTACGCTAACTATAGAAAACAACAATAAGTAATATAATTCATCTTTAACATTGTATTTAATTCAAGATTAATACTAGATCATAAATCACATTTCTAAAATGTACAATTTCAAAGTTATATGAAATAGTATATTTTTAACTTTGAAAATGTCCACCTTAATCGAATAACCCAAGAAACTACGAATAACTTCGATTTGAAATTGGTTTTCTAATAATCGGAACTCTTTATTATCATAATTCACGCCATGATAATGGAAAAAATTTCTTTGTTTCATATGCTAATACATGAAAGACAGCAATAAAAATGATATTGAAAATAATAGTAAATGCAGATATATATATATATATATATATACATACAAAACAATAAATAAAATTTGAATTTAATTTTAATAGAATAAAAGGAGTGGTAGTGTTTTGGATGCTATACAAGGGTTATTGTGAATAAAAGAAGTAAGGAAGTGAGAAATAAGAGAAAGAGATAAAGAAATGAAAAAAGAAAAGTAAAAGCAACGAAAGAGCGACAGAAAGAGAAAGAGAAGCTGATACTATAGTCGTAGAATTCAGGAAGTTTAAAAATCTTTACAAGCAATAGTAGAAGCCAGGTTAGAATTAAGAATCTGTGAGATGAACAAAACAGTACATTAAGAACTTGGTCGAAAACACGGCTGCACGAAAGAAATTATCTACGATTTACAGGAACTATGATCTCGGTAATCATGTAACGATTGTAAAAATTCAAGTGATTGTACATAATTAAAAAATGAACGTGTATTTATAAGTTTTTTTTGCAGATAAAAAACTTACAATTGTTGTTATTTGAGGAATTTCTTTAAATTCCACTATTCTGAACATTATGTACTCAACTTTTCAGTATCAAGCAACTTTTACTTAATTTAAATTTTTATGTCTGTATATTATAAAATATTCGACAAAAAGATATATTAACAAAAAAAATCTTACGATCATGTTTATTATATTATACTAAAACAGTTTAATTAATGCAATCCGTTCATAACATTAAACTTCAAGAATACGTAATAAAAAAATTTTAATCTATTTTTAGTTGAATATATATTTTTTCAAGATTCTAAATATATTATTAAAGTACTGATAGAATTTATTAACATAATTATTATTTATAATTATATTAAAATTTAGTAGTCTTATATTGATATTTTATGAATTTTGTCACCTCAAAGAATATCATTTAAAACATCTAATCAATTAAATAGGCAAAAAATAAACTTTGAATAAAAATCAATTATAATTATGAAATTAAACCATACAAATAAACTACTGTTTAATTACTAATGGAGAATCAATAGAGTTTAAATAAAAAAACGTACATACATAGCAAATCTTACGTAGAACATAATTATGAGGTCATTGTTTATAGTTCTTTATTGTTCGACTAGGAAATGTAAGAATTTCAAATACTAATTGAGCAGGATTAATGAATTTTTAATTTCATTCGCAGATTAACTTTTAAATAAAAAAGAGAAAAAGAAAAAAGGTAAAGTTAATTATAAATATGATAATAATCATTAATCCCTAATTTAATGAACAACACGAATGACCAAAGTATTTTTATAACAGATCAGTGACATTGTGCTAGTAAAAAAAGCTTTAAAATCAGCCAAGTGAAAATAAAATTAAGTAAATATTTTTATGCTTTAAAAAATGAAGTGTGCAATTGATTGGTCTGAGCAAAGTGGCGTGTGAAAAAATTGAAGGGTGTAAGAGCAGACAATTGCGTAGACAAGATAAGGGTCTCGAAATGACGTTTGAAAGTGGAAGTGTAGGGTCAGTCTCCAATAAGCCAAAAGAGACTACTAACGGCTGCTTGGAGTCGAAAAAGAAGAATAGTGGCAAAGCAATGGGCACGATAATGTCGAGTCTCGCGCGCAAACGGCGCACTGTCGGCGTCTTCGGTTCGAAACGTTGGTGGCAACCGAGCTGTTGGGCTTCGCGCGGCCATCAGGAGGCGTATCTGCGCAAACTCTACTCGCGCAAATATAGCGCTAGTACGGCAAATCCTACTTGCACGAATGATGAACAACCTTCGCTCAAATCCGAGAATGGCACCTGGAAAACGCCTGGGTATGAACTTTCGATGACTGACGAGCACTATCTAGATGCCTTCCTCGCTACGCGCACCGAGACCGAATGCCCAGCTCTATCCACACCGAGAGCTAGTCCAACTGAAAAGTGCGTCGAATACTTGAGCAGAAACGATAGAAACTCTCGCAAGTGCCTTATCCAAGAACAACAGCAGCAGCAGCAGGAACATCATGAATCCCAACAGCAACAGCAGCAACAGCAACAACAGCAACAGCAGCAAGCACAGCAACAACAGCTTATGCAGCAAAGACAACAGCAACAACAATATCAACTACAAAATCAAACAGGACACGCAGTCGGCGAGCGCAGTCTCGATACGAAGCTCAAGACTATCACGACTTCTGCTACTGCTGAGTAAGTCTTTAATATCATCGCCATCAATTCATATGCCTACTTACTAGAGAACAACCAATCTATTCATTAGAATATTTAATTACTAAAACTAATTGATAAGTAATGCCGATGAAAATAGATAACTTATTTCTTTAGCATAGTTAAAATTAAAACTTTTTAAATTTTAAATAATATTCACTCATATTTTTAATACACCTTTCACATGTTAAGTATCCTTATGTTTACTCTACTTTAGGATAAATAAACTAATAATTTGATATCAGATTTGGAAATAGATAATATCGTATTTTAATGTAAAAATAATTATATATATGCAGTTATATGTGTTATGTATATTATATTATATATACATAATAACTTTCACAAAAAGCTTTTGCCAAATTACCAAATACCAAATACGAAAAAAGTAATTTATTTATTGCCGAATAGTTAGTTATTTTTTTAATTAATTGGAAATTTGCATGTAAAAATAGGTGATACTGAATACAAGACTGTTCGTCGACGTAAATTAATCGAGTAACATTTAAAAATAAAGAGTGCTATAAACATCTATTGTAATTTTAAATAACAAAAAATTTATGATTTTATACAATTTTATCATTGTGTATATTTCATAGTCGACTTTAAATACAAATATTTAATGTATTAATATAATTTAAAACTGTTTAAAAAAATAAAACTTTTTAATAATTTTAAATATATAAACTTAATTTCTTTCAATTTAATTATATATTATGTATACTTACATTTACACATATGTGTATACTTATGCATATTTAAATATATGTATAATATCATAAAGGCAAATTGATTTTGTTATAAAATTTAATGTTCTTTAGTGTAAATTCAAACATAGAATTTGAAATAACGCTTGAGTAATCTAGTCTAACAATATTAAAAAAGGTAACTGTTATTATAAATTGACTGGACGACCATTGATGATTTAGTTGCCAACATTATAGCAATTTACCTGGAGCTTGTTTAACATTTTCATTTATTTTCGTTTTCCTATTTTCTAATACGTTAATGAAATATTAAATTATGACAACATATTATACTTTTATTCGTATCCTTAACCATCATTAATTTATAATTTTAATATTTTCCTTGGATTTACTAGTTGGATAGCATATAATTTACAAGCATGAAACTTTTTTAAATTTTAATGACTCTGAATATCAATTAAATAATAAATAATAATTTATGGCTCAAATTATTTAATTTTACTAATTTTGGTCCAAAATATTATTTTAAAAATTATAATAATACTATCGAGTTTTTATTAAAACAATAATTTTATTTATCTCGAGGCCAATAAATTTCTACTGTGCATTTAATAAAAGATAATTGATTTTTTCTTATAGTTGGACTAATATATTAAAAATATTACATCCTAAGTGGCTATAAAATTTATTAAACTTTTGTTGTATGCCACAGATAATCCATTCAATTAAAAGATACAAAATTTTATGTTAATATTACAGACATGTAACATGAATACATTTATTATAAATTAATTTTTTAGCCGTATATAAGACTATCGAACTAGATAAAATAATACCTTAAGAAGGTTTACTAATTCACAGTTTCTAGTAATTGTTATATTTTACAATTAATAATGCGTAAGGTACGTATAAGGTAGTGCAACTGGAAGAATTTTATTTAGTAAGCTATTCCATATATTTATTAGTATTACCAAAGCGGACAGAGTATCAAATTATAACTTTTTCATTGACTAGAATTCACTTACGTTATAATACCGAATATATTATATTAATAAATTATATTACTCTATAATTTTTTTTCAAACCTCAATTACTTTCATGAAACCAATTTATATGTAGTAAAGAAAAGCTTCTGCAATTTCTTCAAATGTATTAGAATATTAATATATTCAAGTATTTTATTGTAATTACTTAACAGACTGATTGAAAGATACATTAATAAAAAAAATAAAAAATAAAAATATTTCTAAAATACTTTCTTAACGACATTGAAAGTGAATGTTCAAATGACTATACAAACACATAGAATGCTTTATAAATTCATTTATTACATATCTTCAAATTATAGTTAGTATTATTCAGCTGTAATAATAACTTAAAAATAATTTACTACATTTATTCTGCAGATTCACAATCCACATATAACAGTATAATTTGAATTAAAATACTTAGACTGAGATAGTAATATTATTTTTAAGTTGTGCCAATATTCTTATTATACAGTGTTGACTGTTTTTAAATTTATTTAAAAAATTATTCAAATAAATAAAAACTTTTTTTTTAAATCTATTTTTAATTAAATTCAAATAAATACTGACTAGTATTTGATGGCTATAAATAGAATTTTTTAAAAATTGATTCATAATTAAATATAAATTAAAATTTGTATAAAATTTAGATGCATTTAACTTTTCTTAATTATATATTAGTAAAAAAACAATGAATATTTATAGTAATAATCCTTAGTTAATTTTATTAACTGAATTATAAATTAACTATACAGAAAAATAAATAAAATAAATAATTAATTACATTAAGAAAGAATTATTTTAGTTTTTTATACTTGCAAATTATAATGATAAAATTAATACGCTTTAAGAAGTCTTTAAAAAACTTTTATTTAAAACTTTGTTTTCCATAATATTAAATATATATTGAATATATATTAAAAAGGAATATAATCATATACCATTAAAAGTAGATTCATAAAATTAGACATTTATTAAAATTGAAATACGTTTGAAAAAAATAAAGAATGAAATGAAATATTTGATTATTGTGGAATAAAATATTAACATAAAAAAATATAAAGAAAAGTTCTTCCTGATGAATATTTGTTATAATAAAATTTTTAAGTTTCATAATGTTACTTGAAAAACCTATATTACCATAATAATGCGGTTAAATATTATACTATATTTACGAATAAAATATGATTTCACTTGCTAACGTATTTATTTATATACTGGTGCTTTAAAAACTTGCCCCAACTCAAGTTCGAAGAAGTAATGAATATCATTAAAATAAAAAAATGGAAGAGAATTTGAAAAATTATATATCAAATAAAAATATTTTCGATATTGCAATAATAAAATATACTTGGATACACAAGATATTTAACTTATAATGAAATTCGAAAACTCTTGATATCATAGAACGCAGTGAAATCAATAATTTGTTTCTGTAATTCGGAATAAAATGGATAATATATTGAATTCAATATATTGATTAAAGATAGTAAAATATTGTTTTATATATAAAATAAAAAGGCAAAAAACTGTATAAGCGAAACTGGATCAATTAAAAAGTTTGTCTTAGCAGATATAAATAATGATAATCTTGTTAGCGAATAAGGATCCATGTACAAAGAGGTACTATCGGATCTCCCGTGCAAATGTTCTCAAAGGTTTAACTAATTGTAAAGATCAAAATTCGATCAAATATTGCAGTAATGTCAGAATTGTATCAATTTAATTATTAAAATGAAGAAATATCTCAACCTATTATGTTTTTTTTTCGCCTTCGACGGAAAATTATTTGGATCGTTATGGCTGATCTCGTTATCGGATTTCTATATTTTCAGTGTTCACAATTTCTTTGTATTCATAATCTAATATTCGTGTCGCCGTGGTCTTTAAGCCCCTTAGTACTTTGGCATTCAAGCGGCACTATCGCTCTTTTCTTTGTGATGGAATGTTCAATGTTCGTACCACACCAGAAATGTATGCGGAAATTCAATCTGATTGTACAGACCAAAAATAGCCCCATCAGCCTACATTTCTCACTACAGTTTCACTGATTTCCAATAAAGAACCGTTTGCTTATATAATATTAAAATTTTTGCCTTTACTTTATAGCAACTTCAAGCAAATATTATTCACATCAGACTCCTGAGACTCAGCGTATTTTATTTTATTTAAGAATAAATTTTTGTTCTGTGTAAAGTATTTCTTGCATAATCGGATTATATTTCAGGTTACTGTAAAAATACTGTTACATTTATTGAGTGAATATTTTTTTATCTCCGTTTTTCAAAATTCATATCATTTTCTCTTTGATTTTGACCTTATAATTCTCAAAACTTGGGATTCATTTTTTCCTAAATAATCTCTCATAATATACTTGCTACTATTATATTAAATAATTGGTTGAGCAAAATTTTTTTACTCGCACGTTTGATTATTGTAATAAAAATTATTTAAATTTTTTAAATATATTAGTTATTTAATTTTGTAAAACTTTAAAAGTAATTTCTTAAAACGTTAAAAATATAATATTAATATTCATTATTTTTTTATTACTTTGTTTTATCATAATTCTTACTTCATATGTATAATATACAATTTCTTATAGATATATCAAAATATCTCTACATTCACATTATATATATAGTTCACATATTGTAGTTGTATCTTAACGAATAATAATTAATTTATTACGATTAGTACCGATTTTGAACAAATAGTATTATTATAATTAACAATGTTACAAATGTAATCGATCATTGTGCAGTTATAATTGTAATTTTGAAATAAACAATATATAAAAATTATATAAACTATATAAACAATAATTTTACAATTTTTATTCAATATTTCAAATTAAAAAGTGTTTTCTTTGAAATAATAATTACAATAAACTTGATATTTTTAATATTTTTAGAATAGTGTAATAAGAATTTATATTAAAAATTCTATATTATTTTTCAATAGTTTGCATTCATATTCGTATTGAACAATTTAATTGCATCTCAATTAAACAGTCTCATTGACAATATATCGGTTTATTGTATTTTATTAGTATATATTTATGTTTAATATAAAGTATGAGTAATTTAAAAACGTTATAGACTTTATAGAAACTTTATATAAATAAATTAATGAAATTTTGAAGCTTGTAGTAATAAATCGGCTTTTCATTATTTTAGCTAAATGGCTCTAGTAATTTGTTTACATCTTTTCCATATACCTGTATGTTTTTTGAGTTTCATTCACGAATATTCTGTAGCAAAACATTTGCTATTTGACTCGACGAATTCCATGTTATTTGAAAAGATCGCCAGAAGAATCTTAATTTGCTCGAATCTTTTTTACCATGCCAATCATGTGAACGTATTCCATGTAGCAATTTGGAGCGGCTGTCGTTCCAAAAGAAAAAGAAGAAGACTACAAATGACGAAGAGACACAGCTAGTGTGCCAGTCTCTAGATTCGGGGATAGCTAGTAAACACGGTGGATTGATAGAGAGAAGAAGGTATAATCTTAAGTCGTCACGGGTTAAAAAATCCTCGACGAGACCAAACTCATCTGAGCGGTGATAACGAGGCCTTGCGATCTGTAAAAAAATATCAACAGTGATAAAGGCTAACGCAAGCAAAAATGTTCTTTATCCGTGTTTCTCTTCAATTTTAGCTGACTTTTTATTTTGTACAAAATCGAGAATTTATAAAATAGAAGTAAATTGGTTTCGTGTATTATCCAAGCTGAACATAGTTTTCTAAGATTTATAGAATCCACATAAATAAGCACCGTTCGGAAAACCTTGTATAATTAATTAATGAAACAAAAAACAATTTGTAATAGTGGTGTGTTTTATTTTTATATAAAGTGAATATATTTTTTCTTTTCAACATTATGTAGCTATCAGAAACAGCTCTGACATAAAATTTAGTCAACAAACGCTAAAAGTACGTCAATCAAAATACGATTTTAGACTATAAATACCAGTGTATATTCGAATAAAATAGCATACAATTGCATAAAATAATGTTTTAGCGGGAGTATCGATATTTTGTTGTCTTCTATAGTGGTTTCTGTTTCGGGAAATGTGAGATATGTTTTAGATTTCATGTCCACAAATTTATATGCCTTTGTACTATTATTATTAAATATTTATTTTATGATTGATCTTTAATAAGCACCAAAATAAATAAAGCCATTATTTTTTCATTAACACTTTTAGTTATTTTTATTTTGATTTTCAACATCCAGATTTAAAATCTTTGTCACCAGAATACTAAGAGTAGCAATTGCGTCTAGAAGCCATATTTATTTTATATTGATATTTAATTTTCTAAAATAAAAACAAACTATTTATATACTATTGTACATTTTTACTTTAAATTAATATTTTTTTTTATATCTTTGATATAAAAATATTATATTATATCATCAAATAAAATGCATGCACTTTCTAAAATTATTATATTATATGACAACATTGAGCATTTATTCAAGGAGCTGACATTGAAAAAATTTTTTACTTCTTAATATTCAAAATGATATTTCAGATCATAAAATTTATTATACTAATAAAAAACTTAGAAAATTTTTATTAAAAAATATTAGATTATTATTAATAATTTTTTATTTAATATATAGTTTTAAGAGGTATGAATTTAATTTTTTTTAATTAATATACATTTATATCAATAGATAATAAAACTTCAAACAATTTTAAAATTTAATTTTATTGAGTTAAAATAATACTGTGAATTATATTTAAACCTTTGAATAGTATAAAATTACTTAGTATAAATATTTTTAAATATTTCGAAATCTATTAGATTAACTATTCGAAATATTATATCTATTAACTAAATTATTAGTTGCAACACTATTATTTGATTTCATTATATTTTGAAAATTTCCAATGAATTTATTCGATCTCTTTTATAAGCTTTATTATATTACTTTTTTCATAAGAATTAGATAATTGAATAATAATTTATACAAAAAGTTAATTGAAACTCAATAGCTGTTATAAAATAAAATATATTTTCATATTATGCAAGTATATAGTCATACTTACATTAAATTATTTTATATACATTTTTAATTCTTGCAAAAATCATAAAAGTAAAAATATTTCAAATTTTGAATAAGGAACAAATTTTTTCTATAAACAATATATAAATAACAAATGATCATACAATAATAATTAAGGTACGTGAATTTAATAAAAAATAAAGTAATTCACGTACATCTGCTTTATACAATTATTATTGTATATTTATTATTAAAAATAGTGTTACTACCAATAAATAATACTTATATTAAGATTTATGGATGGATAGATAAAAATGATATTGAAAAACAAAGTCAAGTTTCTCTTCCTTAAGCAGAAATTTCGTGACGATATTTGATGTATGAAATGGGAATAAGTGACAATTACTTTAAATGAGAATTAATTTTTCTCTTAACACTACTCTCTACGATACAGTGTATAAATAAATAAACATCTTTTAGAGTATATTGCATATCAATCAATATCATAGATGTGAATATCGTACTTTAAAGTTTTTAATATTATAAAATAAAAGAATTACTATAATATTAAAAAATGAGTAATTACTATAAATTCATTGTCGATTGATTATATCATCATCGTATTGATTGATAAATAATTTCTAATATTTTTAATATAATAATAATTTGACTTTATAATAAAAACCCTGATTTTGTATTATATTATTCTTGGTCAATATTCTAATAACAAATAATACAATAAAGAATTTGTTAGTCGATGCAATTACAATATCAAATCAAATTAATATTTTTTTAAAAAGTTACCGTTAATATTTGTAATGAAACAACATAGCCTTGTTTATGTACAACACAAAAGCTATACAATTTTAAAAATAGCTAATTGCATCTAAAAATAAAACTCGGTCACTTCGGCAAATGATATTACTTTATAGAATATCTTTTGTTATCTATTGTTACACTTTTCCACCATTTTCATATGTACTTGAGTATACCCCTTCGAATTTGAATGCCAACGTTGAGTGATAACAGAAACTCTAGTAGTGGCTTGTTGATAAACAAAAAAATCTGTTGTAATCTTGCACAAATTACCGAATTCTTAATATTCATATTTTCCACTTTTGATATATAATTTACAAGTCAAATACTTCAGTTCAATCTTTTAAGTTATCATGATATCCATAGCTAACTAAAATTTGACAAAACCGTAAACTGCGACACAGCAACGGCTCTTGACAACTCTTGCGAGAAAAAGAAACCGCCGCTGCTTTATAACATTAGGACCTATGTTTTTATATTTTGAAGTTCTGAATGATAGAAATTCCAGTATAAGGCATTAATTTTTCCCTTAATAATATATTAATGATTTAAAAATGATTTACATTAGATATCATCAGTGAAAATTACTAATAAATTTCTACTTTTGACTAAACTATAAATTATTAAAAGCACCAATTCACTTTGATATTTTCTGCATTAGTGATATTATAATTATTATAATTATTAATATTATTTTATTATTTTATTAATATTATTTTTACTAATATTATATTTATTAATAATATTTTTGATATCAGAAATATTAAAATTGTTCAGCTGGGATTTTACTTAATACATTTATTGAAATTTATGAAATTTACAAAGATGTGATAATGTCTATGCGCAGTTCTTACCTCATCAATAAGAACTTGAAAAAATTATCTTGAAATCATTACATTTCTTTTTAAAATGATTTGAATGCTCAAAATATTTATCATTAATAATAATATATATGTATATCAAAACAGAATGTTTTTATAGTTAATACATTTGTATAATATTTAGATTTTTAATTAAAAATATATTTTTAATCATTTAATATCATTGATGTTACGTTAAATTTCATATTTATAACTTGTTAGTTTTTTCATAATCGCGTAATTAATATTATAAATTTATACATATATACTTGATAATAATTATATAAATATACTTTCGAAATTTTAGTAGTTTTGAAAATTAATTTTTTCTAATTGTTTGTAAATGTTTATATATATATATATTTATATGAATATACATACTTTCAGTAATGATGTTTCATTTGTAAATTTTATTTATGTAAAATTTTTTGTAGATATTTATGTAGTTTCTTTATTTTTTGAGAGAAATATTATTAGTAACATTAAAAATTTCGATAAAATCTAAATATTTGAATAATTATACTAAATATTTTGAAAAATTAACTTAATTTGAAATCCAGTTAATATTTTTAAAAGCTAATGTGTACACGTAAAATCGAGACATTTTAAATCATTTTTTAATATTTTGTAAAATAATTTTATTTGTGTTTCGAAATTTTTTTCACATTAATTACACATCAACAAGTTGCAAACTGAATTTAATATAAATTTAATATTTAATATAAAAAATAATGTATTTTATTAAATTTTAAAAAATAGATTCTATAACTACAATTTTAATATATAAGTAACAAAATTAAATAAAAAATGTAATTTTGCAACATTATAAGTAAATCTTAAAAATATAATAAAAAATTTAAATATTAAATTGATTTTATATTAAAATTTATATTCCATATATTATCATAATTATTGTTATTAATTATATATTTATTTATATAAAATTGTATTTAGTTCCATATTTTTAAATATGAAGTAATTGATGTAGGATTAATAATTATTAATCAATGTTTAAATAAGAAATTTTTTAAATTGTTTAATATTAAATTAAATAATCACAACTTACCGATTAACTTTATTAGTTTAATGAAACTCCATTACATGGTCTTTAATTCATGAAATTCAAGATGCAATCTCTGTATTAAAATGCATTTCAATTTTTTTTAAAGTTCTATAACGATATATGTAAGTTATGTAATATTTAATAATTATCAAATAATAAAAGCATAAGAGGAAATTGATATATTTAATTCTTTATTGTAAAAAAAAAAATCAATTATCTAATTCCTCTATATACAACTCACACCGTACATATTTTATTGCGTTTAGATATATCTCGTACAGAAACATAAAAGAAACGTTAGAACAACGGAAAGAAAAGAATGTAATCCAAGAATAAGTTTGATTGTTATAATGAAAAGATATTGAATGTATAGATAATTAATACATGGCCATTGATGTTCATAGCAAAGTTTGCAAGAGTTGCCGTTGTCCTCGAGAGGAGCACCAGCGCAGCCCCTCGGAAACAAGCGTCGGCGGCCGAATGGCGATAGCAATGGCTTTCCAAAACAGCCAGAGTAGTGTTTTAAATGCTGGCCAACAACAGCAGCAACAACGCGGCGACAGTTTCGAAAGTTCGGTTCAGCCGCTACCGGTGGGAGGCATCCCACCTGTTGTACAGGACGCCCTGGTACAACAACACCATCACCAAAGGCATTCTCAAAGCGACGATGATAGTGGCTGCGCCCTCGAAGAATACACCTGGGTACCGCCTGGCCTTCGGCCTGATCAGGTACGAAGTAAGCTAATATAGAAATTGGAATATTCGTAGTAAAAATGTTGAAGTAAGCGCCGAAAATATAAACCTTTGGAAAGAAAATATTAATTTTCTATATAACGACTTTCCACTAGATATTTTAATTTACATAAAAAAATTAAGATGTAACAATAAAGAGGCATAGGAATTTGATGCGAAGCTTACTTGATAGATGACTGAAGTCAACATTTAATACTTTCAGAAACATAAATTATGAATATTATAATTTATTATTTCAGTCAAATATATTAAAATGATTCAATATACAAAATATTGTATTTTGAATTTCGTATTAATTTTCTTATATAATCACTAAGCAGTTTTGTTTATCGTTAAGCCTCCAATTATTTTTTAATTTATAATTAAATGATAATTGATGTGAAATACAGAATAAAAAATTGAAAATGAATAGGAACTTGTGATATCTACTTCGAAGTCTACGTGTGAAATAAGTGTAACCTCAAGGCATTGCAAGTGGAATAAATAGTAAATAGAATCAGTTCTAAATGTGTTTAGTAATATTTAATGTTGGTTATTAACGTTACTGTTTTATACTAACCTAATTTAAGAAGTATTATTCAAATATTTATTAAATTCAATTCATTTATTATGATTAAATATTTATTCCAACATATTTATATTTATTCTAACAATAAAAATAAAATTGTAGATTATTTTATTATTGAAATTACTTGATTTTATCTAAAAATTATTTGAAATTTGTGTAAATTATTATATAAAAATCATAAAATATATTCTTTTCAATATATATTAACTACATAGTCAAATTATTTTTAATAAAGTACAAACCTATTTTATGTTAAGCAATGATCTTTAGATACTTACATACATATTTTATTTTACAATATATTTAACTTCTTTAGTAACTCACTCTGCTTTTTTCTAATTTATTTTAAATTTTAACAGCTTATTGTAATAGAGCGCGATATTTATCAATTTTATATAACAATATAAATTTTCATAATAATTTATTTTTTAATTTTAATGTTTTTTATTTACAGTTAAAAAAATGCTTTGAAGAATTTTATATTTGTTTATTTATATAAAATTTTAATTGAAAATAAATAAACTTAAAATAAGAATTATTGGAAATACACAGAAAAATTCAATAATTGTAATTATTATTATAGATTGAGGGTCAATTATTTATAAAGAAAATAGAAAAGAAAAACTGAGTAACCGGATGAAGCCTAATGACTTTTCTCACCATTGCTTGTACAACCTGTTGTAGGAGCTTAAACTAGTTTACGTGTAGATGGATACACATCCTTGAATACGAATTGATCATCATTTCGGATATCAAGGGATGACATCAGCGAGTATCATTTTCAGAAAGCCTATTCGATATTCGAATATAATTATATCTCTATTCGTGTTTTCAATATTTCCGTGACCTTTATTCAACAAATTATTAAATTCTTTTTTTGTAATTACTGTTATTTTTCGAAATTAATTCTTTACTCAATTTCGAGACGTAAAAGCAAATAACATTTACTTATTTCATTATATTTGTTTATAAACATTTGGCTTGAAAAATATACATACTTAAAAATATTACAAATAATACTGTAGACATAAGCATTTAAAAAATTCATCATTATTATAATACAATGTACTTATTGCTATATAAAATATTGTTTTTGTGCTCTCAAACTATTATATCAATCTAAACTCAAAACCATATTATTTGTCTACAAATACTTGATCTCAAATATGTATTGATTTTTATTGTCATTTTATTTTATTATAAATATATATCCATAATAATAATCATTGCTCGTGAAAAATTGAATATTTTTATGATACATGCTTTTTCAGAGTAAAAGTTTTTACAATAAGGGAAAAAATATTTGTTATCTACGGTACTTATTACCGCAATCCTCTTAACTTACCGTTACTTATCGGACGCTAATTTAATAATATAAAATACCCAGTTAGGATTCGTTAATCTTTATTGACTGTAAAGTTATCGCCTATTACGTGATTCATTGTAATGGAGGTGATGGGATGAATTTTGAAACTAAGATTTTTAATGTCATATGCACTGAGAAACTTACCCTATCAATTATCTTGTTTGATTAAATGGGAACATATATACGTTTGAAACAATTAGAAAGCTTACGAAATAATATTTACATTGAATTTCGTAACTTTCTTAAAGAAGAACTGCTCTTGGTGTATAAATATTACAATTTTTATAATGTTCGTGTCAGTATCTATATTGAATGTTGATGATCATGAATACCACTTAGAAATGTTTTCAATTTTACACATTATAAATTATATACAAGATTAATGAATCTGTTTTAATTTAACAGTAATATAAAAAATAAAAAATTCACTATTATATAATTTATAATATATAATATATGTTTTATATATATATTTGTATAATGTAGGTTATTTAATAAATATAAAAAAATTTCTTATTATGAAAATTATTATCACCACCATTAAAAAATATATAAAACAATTTCACTATTTTTTTTAATAAATTTCAATTAAAAACTTTATCTAATTATATTTAAAACTTATTAATGTTACATACGAATATATTACATTCAGTATTTCAATTAAACACAATATAATAAGCTCTTAGTTACGACACAAAATAGTTGCTGGATTAAACTGTTTTCATTAAATATAATAATAATAAATATTCTGACAATTTATATTTATATGTTATATATTATTTATATTATTATTTTATTTATATAATATATTTATAATATATATTATAATAAAATATATTATATTATAAATATTATATAATAAATATTATATAATATATAATATATTTATATACATATATATATATTTATATGACATTACTGTATAAATTATATTAGTAATGGATTTATTACGAAAAATCATAAATTCTATAATTATAAAAATATAGAATAAAAATATAGAAATAAAATGATGAAAAATATTAGAGCAAATCATTTTGAACTTATTTATAACTTTTATTTATGAATATAATGCGTTTTAAAAAATTCATCTTTCTATAATATGCATGTGCCATAGAGTTCCTATTTATCTTAAAAGTCAGTAGGTATTATAAATTTAAAAAATTATAATACATTTATATTTAATATTTATTAAAAATATTAATTTTATTTAAACTTTCATTCTAATATATATATCCTTTGTGATACTTTAAAAAATTTTTTAAACATTTTTTAAGAAGTATTTTATTGATTAGCTCAGATAAGAGAAGTTTCCTTATTAGTATGTTAAATTATATATAAGCAATTTTATGAATTACTAAAAGCAGTTATATTACAGTTTATTGTTGTTGAATAACTAATACTTGTATATGTAAATGAATATGAAAAAGTATTGCTTCAATGTCAATAGAATATATGATATATTTATTTATAATTTCGGATTGATTGAACTAATAACTATAATACTATAAAAATTGTTCATCATTCTATTATATTATTTTAGTGTATTAATAGAAAGTAAGTTTTGAATAATTTATTTCATTCACTTTGCCTTGAAAAAGAATATTTTGAAAATCCATCAATACTATTTAAATGTATTATAAATACTGTTGGATTATTTATTATTATATATCAGTAGTTTAATTGTCATCTTTTGAAATACCTATGTTTTTGAGGCAACCTTTTAAGAGAAATATAAAATACAACGTCCAATTTTGCGTATTATACAAACTACAGAACCGTGAAAAAAGGCTAAAATTAAATAATAAAAATGGCGTCAGTAACACTTGCATTATCTATCTTTTAGTGTATTGCTGTTTTCACTTTTACGCCTTCATTGTTAAAATATGATACCTTTTCGTTTTCATATTTATCATATAAGTAGAATAAAAATTTTCATAAGAAATGGGCGCGCGCACGTGAATACAAATGCTTTGCAATTTTATGAAAACACGGCGGCTCTCAAATAACACGCAGTGACCTTTTCAAGTGTATGCTCATGCGATTAATAGTGATAGGATCAGTGGAAGTACGACATAAACAACGAATCTTTAGGCGAGTTAAATTGGTGCTATATTGGAAAAGAATAACGAGAAAAAAGAAATAGCTAACAGTTTGATTGTCTTTACAAACTCACAGGTTCACCTGTACTTCAGCGGTCTGCCCGAGGACAAAATCCCGTATGTGGGTAGCGCCGGAGAACGGGAACGCGTAAGGCAGCTGCTACAACAACTACCGCCCCACGACAACGAGGCGCGTTACTGTAGCGGGCTGAGCGAGGAAGAGAAACGTGAACTACGTGTGTTCGCTGGGCAAAGAAAACGAGAGGCCCTAGGCAGGGGACAGGCCAGCCAGGTAAGCCGTAACGCAGATTTGCCATAGGTATTCTATAATATTAAACGTTGATTTAGAATTTCCATTACTTTTTAATGTAATGCACATCATGTGCCATTGCATGAAATAAGCAAGCTGGTTGCAAATTTATCTAAGCGAGGTAAATAAATATTGTGCATCGCTAGCAGAGTATCATTATAATCAATTGGCATATCCGCATTTCTAAAACATTTGCATTTTTATAATTTGAGACGTCTTTAAAGGCGATTTCAAAAGTCAAATGATCCTCGATACTGTAGTTCATTCTTATTTTTAAACATTTTTCAATAACATCATTATACCCTTAGCTAATAAAAATATTAAATTATTTTTAATTTTCATTTATTGTATATTTAAGATCCTACTGTATATAACAATAAAAGCTAAATAATAACGTGGTGGTCCAGTTTCATATTAAGAAATTTTATATGTATAATATTCAGTTTTTTTTATAATCTCATTGGTAAATTCAAAATTGCATTTTATACTCCATGCAGAAATATATTTAAATTATTGGTTTTCAATTATGTGCTAAATAACACGATAAATACCGGTAATAATTACAAAATCGATTTAATATTTAAAAAAAATATAGAATCATTCATCATTATTGCTATAATTCACTTGAATTCACTTGAAAAATTGAAATTTTAAGAATTTTAAAAGGCTCATAATTATTACGATAAAAATATGTATTAATTCATTTAAAAAATTAGAAAGAAATTTTATTCTTTATTATTGTAGATTTATTTATTATTCTTTTAGTATAAGTATAACATATTCTATAATCTTACAATGAAATATGTAAAACTATTGTTTGCATTAGAATTATATTTTTCTAATAAGATAATTACAAATATTTATTTTTAAAATATTTAACAAAAATGAAAAAAACATAAATAGCTCATAATAAGTATTAATCACTTTATTAATATATTTAATTGACCTTTTCTTTTCATTCAGTTCAATGTCATACTAACAATATTTTTTTTTGTAAGCTAGAATATTAGAATTTATTATTCCATCGATTTAATAAACATTGCGGATTATATTTCAGGAACAAGAGTTTAGTGATCTTTTAACAAAAATTTTTATTTTACCTATGCCTACCTAAATGTTTTGTTTTATGCAATTACAAAAAAATTATAAAAAACGTATATAATTTATAAATTTCATATATATACATATATATAACTGTATAATATATATATATATATATATATATATATATATATATATATATATATATATATATATATATATAATTCAAATATATTTTATATATTCCATATATGCACTAAAAAATCTTTGACATTATTTAATAACTTACGTGCCAAAATCAAGTTATCTATAATATATTAATGTTTGTGCTGTAATTATTAAATAAAAAAATTAATATAAAATTGGTAATGCTATTTATTTAATATGTAAGAATAAAAGTAAGGCAATGTATTAATTAAAATGTCAAAAATTTATAAAATATTTATAAATTCTTGAATATTATAACGTTATCAATGCAAAATTTATAGTTAAAATATAATACATAATAAATAAATTAACGAATTCAGCAATTAAAATTGTATAATACATGAGATACACATATGTAATGAGAATTCAAATATTTTTAACTGTCTTTATGGTAAATACCACATAAACATCGTTATGTAACCTAGCCATGCTCCTAAAACGTTAAAACAATCTAGAATTCTATACATAGTGTACCTACATTATTATACTACACCATTAGTATACCACAACATAGTATATCATTTTGGGCTTTTGTTTAATTTAAAACATAAAAGTACCAATGGCTTGTAGAAGATTAATGGATAAATCATAGTGCAGTATCCCCTGAATTTTAAATAATATTCGTATTATTCATATGTTCAGGTGGATAGAGCTCACGGAAGCGGTTGTCGTGAATGCGGAAGCTCCATCGGTCAAGGCGAGATTGCAGTGGGAGCAAGTCGCGCAGGACCCGCAGCACTCTGGCACCCGGGCTGCTTTGTTTGTTGCATCTGTCGGCAGCTGCTAGTTGACCTCATCTACTTCTGGAGAGACGGGCGGCTTTACTGCGGTCGCCATCATGCTGAAACGCTCAAACCGAGATGTTGCGCTTGCGACGAGATCATATTAGCGGACGAATGTACCGAGGCCGAGGGCAGAGCCTGGCACATGCGTCACTTCGCCTGTCTGGAGTGCGACAGACAGGTCAGTTTCTCATTCAGATAAGTTCAAAAAGATGCTTATATGATAAAAAAAAATAAAAAATAAAACTTATTTTTTTATATCAAATTTATAATGATGCCGAAAATATACTTATTTTAAATTATATCTGAAATTAAATTTATATATAAGCTTCGTTAATTATATTAATTATATGAGAAATTTTTATTAAAATCAGTTAAAATAAAATATGATTGAAAATATTAAATGTTATTTGACTTAACTACACCATGTTTCCAGGCAACGATCAATTAAATTATATTTGCTTTTTATTTCCTTAATTACAAACTAATTTTTCATTATATTTTTCAAAAATGTTTATTAATAATACGATGAATACTTATGCTAAATAACTGCATATCTCAATAAATTATCTTTTACTTTAAAAACTAGTATATTGTTCATTCAAAAAATATGTATGTAGATATGCATATTGATAGATAAAAAATTAAAAAATATATAATACATCATTATTCAAACATTGCACGTAAAATATGGTTATATAATAAAATATGTAATATTCTATTAAAATAATATATTTCGATTTATACAATAAATTATATGATAAATCATTTGCTCAACTTATTCCGACAATCTTGTTTAAAGTTTTATACATTAGTTAAGATGTGTTAGGAAAAGTACAAATTTTATAACAGTACATAATATTTACAATGCTTGTCATATTAAATAATTTATTCTGATACCAAAATTTATATTTTGTAATTGGAAGTATATTTTGACAAATCTTAAATCCATGGAACTCAATGTCTAAGAAATACAATTTTATAATTATGTGAACACTAAATGTAATGCATAAATTATTATAATTTTCTTTAAACTTATTAACTATAAGTGTCACCTATAAGTTGTCATTTTAATTACACTTATTAACATTATTTATTAATTTCTTTGAATGTTATAATAAGCTTTAGACATTAACGCTCTAAGATTAATAATTAAATATTACTTTCTGGTATGATCAAGACTAGTATTTTATATTTTATCTATTTAAAATATACGTGATATATTTTTTTTATTTAATTTGTAAAGTCACAGCTTTAGAAAATGTAATATATAAGGAATTGATCTTTGATATTAATAGTGTTATTTAACTATAGGCCCATTTACTAAATATTATATAGTAACACTGAACATAAATTTCACCAAATGATTTAAATAGATACCAACAAAAGTATAAAAAGTTTATATTTGCTACAAAAACATAAGTAAAGTCAATAAAATAAAATAAAATAATAGGTAAAATATTATTTTTTTATTAATACCTTAATAATGATTTTTACGTAATGACTTACACGTATAATGAAATATATTATACATTATTAATATACTGAGCGTAGGAAATTTTATACTCTAAAAATTTCTGAAATACAAATATACAAAAAGTTAACATTCCTTATATTTATGCAATATTTTTAATTTCATCGTAATTTCTTATTATTTTATACTAATTGTTCATCGCTGATGCTTTTTAATTAAAGAAGATAATTATGAACACGGATGGTTGATTACTATTGCGTTTTTACTAATAATCATAATGATATTTGTCTGTGTTATGCATGTCACCATCGTGTACGGTTAATTTGCGGTTATTTTTTTTTATTCATTTTCATTATTCTTCTTCTCTCTCTCTCTCTCTCTCTCTCTCTCCATCTGTCTCTCCATCTCTCTCCCTCGTTTTCTTACTTTACTTTTTCTTTTTAATTCTTTAAGATCTATAGATTATCATTTCATTCAGTCATTTAAAAATGTATGGCTATTACGATGTATGGCAGCAAGCATGCATTAAAAAAACGATCATTTCATACACTTTATTACAATCGCAGAATCGTCTGTTCTTTTAGTTTCAGAATTATAGTAAATTTTACTTTTGTATTCATGCAAAATACAAAAATTAATTTTTTTAAAAATTATAATGATTTAATATTTTTATTAATAATATCAGTTTATAAGCATAAATCGATTAAACGTGTCTTTTAAAAATAATTATATACATTTTAAAAAACACACCGGTATATCTCTACTTTGATAAAACCTCTTCTTATTTAGTTCAAAAGTTCAATAATATTAGATATAAAAAAAATTGCTTCTAAGCATACCATTAACTAAGTACCAGGACATTTGCAGTTGGGCGGTCAAAGATACGTAATGCGAGAGGGCAGACCGTACTGCTTGCATTGCTTTGACGCATCGTTTGCTGAATACTGCGACAGTTGTAGCGAACCAATTGGCGTGGACCAGGGCCAGATGTCTCACGAAGGCCAGCATTGGCATGCTAATGAGTGTTGCTTCTGCTGTGCGACTTGTCACACTTCCCTCCTGGGCCGACCTTTTCTGCCTCGCCGCGGTGCCATCTACTGCAGCATCGCCTGCAGCAAGGGTGAACCGCCTACAACGCCTAGCGATTCTTCCACTGGACCAACACCCGCACCACCATCCTTCCATAGGTAAGGCTTTTCATAGAAATTGAACTGAAAATATTAAAACGAATGACAGCTCTTCACTTTTTCAATCCATAGATTATTATTGTTAAGAGTCCTTAAATGATAAACTATACAAAGAGTTGATATTAATATTAATATATTAATACATGGTAACAGATCACATTTTAAAAAGAAAATCGATAAACCTTAACTCCTAATATTCCATATATATTCAAAGTGTAATCAGTTTAAAAAAAATAAAAAATGCGTGTTTTTAAATTGAATTTCATTGAAATTGTAAAGAAATTCATAAACTCATATATCTATAATTAATTTCATTTATAGGTAATTTTAAATCGTTTAATATCAACTTAAAATATTGAATACTTTTAAAGTGTAACGGACTGCAAATTAAGCTATCAATTTTTTAATATTTATGCGTTTGATTTAAACCTATACAAAACCCATATCAAACGATTTTTAATATCAATTTTCTAAACAAAAATTATTTTGTTTATAAAAAACATTTCACAAATTATAATTTTTCTATTAATAATAATTACGGTGCAATAATAAACGGTTTTAAAATATATAAGACTATCAAATCGTATAAATTTATTTTGTATAAATTTTACATAACAATCCATTAAATATTCGTAACAATAATTATTAGTTATATTTGTAATTGCTGATAATGCCAATACTATTTTTAGTTTTGCATAAAAATTAAAATAATAAGCATAAGATATCGTAAGATAGCTTAAGTTACATATCACATTTAATATTTCATACATAGCTGTACCAATATAAATTGAAGTTTTATTACCTTCAAGTTATTGGTATTTGCTAATAATAAAAGTCACTATACATAGAAGTATGTGGGCTCTAACAAAATTATCTACTAAGAATGCTTTACGAATAAGACTAACTGATAAAGCTGATATTCATCATAAGAGAAAATGTTAAAAAGTTGAGAAAAATGAATACATGAATCGTCGAAATTCCTAAAACAGGATGTCTAAAAGGCATGGAACATCAAAGAACACGATCGAGTGTTCGTCCTCTCCCGCTCACGCGTCACCCCATCATGACTTTGGTTCTCCAAGGAATTCACCACGAATGTCCAGAAAACACCATCAGCAGCAGCAACAGCAACAACAACATCAACAGCAGGTGTCAATATCGCTTGCGGGTACGCCAACGTTCTCAGCAACAACAGCTAGCGAATTCGGTACAGGAACTGATGCAGGATCACGCTCCGGAGGTCTGGACCGCGTTCTTCTTGAAAGAAACCTCGAAAGGCTATTACAAGAGCGCGGTTCGCAAGCCGAGGAATCGACCACAGAACTCGGCAGGTTAGTAACTCAATTGATATTTATGAATTTTGGAAAAATTCATCTTGACCGTGCATGGGATTTTTTTCTGAAATTACACCGGATACTAACTTTAAAGAATAGCTATAAATTATTTAATTAGTATTTTCATTGCACGCGTTAATTTTTCCTTTTAAATTTTCAAATACATTGCAATGCTTTAGTTGTGTACCAGAACAAAAATTTGGTGGTATTGTTATGATATAATGAGCATTTAATTAGTGAATCAGTTCATTGTTTATCGTTTATAATATAAATATTATTGATTTTTCAAATTAATCCTAATATTTATTAGCTTCCACAAATTCCACAGATAATTCTACTGATAAAAAGTAATATAAATATAATTTTTTTAAATTTTATAATTGTTCAAATGATTATTACTTAGTCAATGCTATTATTCAAAAGTAAATAAATAAGTCTGTGTTCAACTAATATTAAGAATTAAATTGGTTAGTATTGTTTTATTACCAATGATCATAGCATTAAATTTGTTTATTTCATCAATATTATTATTATGAATGTAATATAAATTCATTGTATTATTACAATTTTATAATTGATATAAATTGTATACATTAAAATTAATCATTTGATTTTTATATTAATATAGAACACAAACCTTTTTTTAACAATAAAAATTTATAATAATAAGAATGTTAATTTTTCAGTTAAATATCTTATTAAAACAACTTTATACTACTAAAAAAAAGATTACTAACAGTTAAACTATTTGTTAAATATTGAATAAAGAAGACTGTAATATTTTCAAAAAGTACCACAATTTCTAATGTTTTTAATATATCGATCAATTAATAGGTATTTCTACAAATCGATGTACTAATTTGTCTAATATAAATGTCGTAGGTTAATGCAAGCGCGTGATCGTGAACCACTTCGCTGCATTCCAAACTCTGCCAGTCCTTCGCATGCTTCTAGCATGCCCGAACTACCAAACATTCTGGTTTGTCCGAACGACGGAACGACAGCCACTACTTCGCCCTCAACTTGCGTCCCTGAATCACCAGCAACAGAAGACGGAGCTGCGGCCCTTCCAACCTGCTCCTCCAGCTCGGTATCTCCCTCAACGCCACCTGAAGATAAACCTTCACCGCCACCTCCAGCGCCGGGACCCTCGCGTCGCGTCAGGTTCCAAGAAGAAAACTTACTGCACGAACCTTCTACATCCACGGGAGTTTCGAGCTCGCGGCATCATGATAGACGATCACCGACTTCTTCCTGTCATCCTAGAAGACACACCGTACCTAGATCTAGAAGTCTACAGCTTGAAGAAGTACCTGGTTGCTCATCTTGGGGTAAGTTGCTTCAATACTTTATGCAAATCTAATATTTAATATTTGAAAAATATTAATTTTAAATCTAAATGGATAAGTAACTACTTGATTACAAATATCTACTCCGTACATAAATTTCTAAGCTATATACAAAGACTCCATGAAATTAATTTAATAGTAATTAAACAAATATTCGGCGATTATTATACATATAGTATTTTTAATTATTATATAGTATTAGAAATATAGTAAAATTAATTAGTTAGATTTAACATTTTTACAATTAAATAATATAAATGTTCTTATAGATGAAAATGAAAAAAGAAATGGAAAATTTTAATTTCCTAAAAATATTGTAAAAGAAAGCTTCTTACCATCCGGTAACTTAAAACTTTGTTAATGTCTCCAATACATACAGATACTACATGTTGCTTATACTATATGATTCTCATTTATTTTGGTCACTAAATTTATCGCATACTTTCAAATTTTGCAGTAGATTTAATTTTATTAAAATTACGCTTTTACCTGAAAGATTTTAAAATAAATTCATTTTTTCACTTCATAATTTATTAAAACAAATAACAAAATCTAAATGTAAAATAAATATATGAAAAACACCGTTTTTCAGAAACCATGTAAAAGCTATTATAATTTCATATTATGTTTTCGTAAAAGATAATACGAACTATTTTTTATATTTATGTGTAATGAGACAAATAAGTATTTTGGGTAGAACTATTTTACACAATTTGCTTTATAAAGTTTCATCGGATTTAAATGGAAAAGTCTTGAGATCGCTCAAAATATCAATTTGTGTGCAGCGTTCCTTAATATTTTTTTTTATTTTCTTTTTCTTTATAAAATAAAAAAAATCCAAAACTTGATCATTACACTTACAGGTGAAATAAATGCTCGACTGCGAGCTGATGACGAAGAAAGTTGTTGCTCTACCTGTAGTTCGTCAAGCAGTTCTGACGACGCGGAAGCTTACTCACTACCTCCTCGGCGTGCCTATGGTGGTGTAAGACTTGCATATGTGCCAAATGATGCAGTGGCCTGCGCCAGACGTCGAGCGGCTACAGGTCCAGGATCGCCTTCCGCTGGTCCGACATCGGGCAAGGATAATGACAAATGCGTTGTATCTTGATCGAAAGCTCAGCTCTTCGAATACGTTTTTCCCTACCCTATCCTCAGTTACTGTCTGCTACTTCGGAGCACTAAAATTTTAGAATTTAGTCTTTTGGATACTGCCTATATCATCTGCAAATAACTAGATTCACGTCTTTTTTATAACTACATAAAAATTTTCTTCTTTTTATATCATTAATCAGACATTATTAATTACAATATTTGTCGTATTAAAGCAAGAACGGATTTTTCAAGTTTCATTCAATAAAATTAAGATTTTACTTAAATATTATAGTGTAATATGTAGTACGAATTCCTGTAACATAAAGTTACTATCAATCATATTTTGTTAAAAAATGTTTATGCTACTTCAAATAGATTTTTGAAGCCGTAAGAATATTAATGTCGTTTTATTATCGTAAAAAACAACGTTTTATTTAAGAATACAAATTACAAATCAACTCGTATATAAATAAAGAATATTTAAACATTTTTTATCGATTTATTATTTGCATTTCAATCAATAATTTTTACTAAAATATAATTAGAACATGCGGTTGTTTAACAATGAAAATAATTATTATTAGTATAGTAGTATATTGAAACACTATTGAAAAACAAATATTAAAACGGGAAGTCTTACTACATAATTTATATATATATATATGTGTGTGATTTCATATAATAAATAACCAGAACTTTTTTCATTAACGAAAAAAATTCTTTAAATAAATAATGTAAAATTTCAAAATATTCTATGTCTTTGAAAAAAGATTCTAATGAGTAAGCTGAAATTAGCATATCTTACAATTAACATTTTTAGATTCGATAAATAAATATTGTGTAATATATATTTACTAGAAAAATTTAGGAAGTAAAAATATTTAAATTATATCTTTTCATAAAATTACGTACTACATATAGATGTAGCTAATTATATTTATTATAATTAAATTATTACATATCACTTTAGATGCTATTAATAGTCTAATAATTTCATATTTTTAAAAATTAATATTAAAAATAAAAGTGAAACATTACATATAAAGTGTTTGTATTTTATTACAGTAATTTCTACTTAATAATACACAAAAAATATATTCAGAACAATAATTCATAAATTGTAACAATAGCAAATATAGTTTTACTACATCTACCGTGAATAAATTAGCATGTTCATTAATGTAAAGTAGATTTGGTATTTTTAATATTAAAGAATTTCATATTGTGAAGGATGATTTACCTAAAGTAAAAATTTTCTTAAAGAACTAAAATATGCCATATACAAATGTATAATTATACTTATAAATATTTAACTCATTGGTGAAACCATTAATATCTGAAGAAGCAAAGCTTTTAATACATGTAACATACCGTGTCTACCTCTCTTTTCTAGACGCTTATACATCACTAACAATTAATATTATAATTTATGAGTATTAAAATCATTGTTCTACTAAGAAATTTAACTCGCCTATTGTTAATATTTAAAATTACAATTTAATATATATAGTGTACAAATATAATCATAATATTTGAATTTTTCTCAAAATATATGATTGACAATGCTATATAGCATTAAAAAATATTGTTATAATATGAAAAACTCTTAAAGGCATAATTCCTAAGCGTTTTTCATCAGTTTTTATCAATGTCATTAATTAATATTCATGAAAATTCCCTGACATTTGTAGTTTAAAAAATTCAATAATTAAAAAATGGACAAATTCTCTAATATAAGTGCCGAAGACAGTCTAAATACAAATAAATATTTTAACTGTTACTTTTCATAGAAGTATTTAGAAACTTAACTCTATAATTATAATTCTGTTGACTTTCCGTTCCTACTGGTAGGAAAAAGTAATAAATACGTTTAACAAATTGGACATATCAGATTAAACTCAGAGTCACTAAAATTTATTATTGCCAAAATATGAATTAATATAACGTTTTCTAACTATATATACAATAAAGAAGTTTATTGCCAAGAAAGACTTGACCACAAATAAACGATGGACGATAGTGCATACTAATTAAGATTTTTATAAGGATTATGTTAAAAGTAACTCTTAATTAAGAATGACAAATATAATATTAAATAACGAAACTATATGTAAGTGATATCATTCACAAAGCCATATATTTATATAATTATATTGTATTTCAATCCATATAGCGCATATTTAATTAAATGTAAGATAAATATATAATTCATAAAAAAGAATGATAACGAATAGTTAAATATTTTATTTGATTACTAATTTTTTATTTCTGCAAAAGTATATACGATCTTCCATTAGGAAACATGCCACACAAAACTGTCGATATAAAACTATTTATTATGTTATTTATATAATTTTATTTTACGTTTTATTTATTTTGCCGTTTATCTGAAATAAATAAATTTTTATTCTAAGATATAATATAATGAGTTCGATGATTATAACTAATGCAAGTATGAAAATTAATATTTTCCAATTTGAAAATGTGAATTATATTATAATAATGAAATTAAATAATAAACTTTTACTTTAATTTTAAGAAAATCTACAGGTAACATAAATTATTTTAAAACACACATTTTTATTCTATTTCACTTAATTTATTTATTTGATTACATAAAAAAGACTGTTGTACTTTTAATTTATTATATTCGTATGTAAATCTTTTAATAAATATGAAATTATAAGTTTTAAATTCTGATAGTAACATATTTTATCTAAATTTAAGCAAAATGTAAATACTTTGTAATACTTTACATACTGATTATAATAATAAAAAATATGTATATATTAAAAATAGACTTAAAATGATATTTTTAAAGTTATATCTTTTATTTCTTTTACCTAAAATATATTATTTTTATTAGAAATAAAAAATAATGTGCTTGATGTCGATATTATATATAATGATTATTATAAATATATATATTTTATGGAATAATTACGTATCGATATGTTATTTACTTTTGTACTCATTCAGAATTAATGAAGAACGATACAAAATAGTAAAAATTTTACCATCTTGAATAAGGTAAATACAAGATTCCAGTGAAAATAGTAACAACTATACTAGTTAAAAAATTTGGATGGCGTGAAATAAAATTATCAAACAAAATAATACACAAAACAATTATTTACATCAGTGTTCTATTTTAAAACAATTTTTAACGGTAAACATTATCACTCTAAGACTTTGAACAACCTTTCATCACATATTTTACGAACTAGCACTAATTATCTAGTATTTTTACTTTAACTACTATTTAACTTATAAATGTGCATCTAACTATTTCTTACTTTAATTTCTAAATATTTACCAATTTATTGTGTTCATAAATCATTCATAATTTTATTATAATAATAAACAATTAAAATCATTTTGATAATTATTTTAATTATATTTATTATAAGCAAAAGGCATATTATTGTATAAAACCTATTCAAGTGTTGTAATTAATCAAATAAAGTCCATTGCTAAAGCATAAAAATATCAGTTTTTTATTTATCTAAGCTTTTCATATTTATTTCATATTTTTTATTTTATAATATTTAATAACAAAATAATTTGTTCTTATTCAGTTTATTATTTGAGAAAAAACAAATTATTAATGTAAATCTACGAGCTTAATTTTCATTCATTTGAACATTTTGATTATAATGGTTATATAGTAAGTGAATAGTGCAAATCTCTCAATACTATACAAAATGTAAAGACATTTAAAAATATATATTAAATAGATATAAAATATATAATTTAATTATTTATTTAATATTAAATTATGACAATAGTAAAGAATGACTAAATTTCGTTTTCTTTATTAAATTAAACAACTTTATAATTTATATATCATTAATTTTACTCTTTATGTTAGATACTATTTTATTTGCGTAATTTTGTCTAACCATAAAAAACACCTGTTTTTTCTTTTAAAACCAAAAAAAAAATTTAAAACCTAATGAGTACACATATAAATAATAATTCCTAATAAGCAATTTTTATATTATACAAATAATTCTAGAACTATATAATGTACTGAAATCTATTATATTATTTGACACGAAAAGTCAATGGTACTGTATTAATTAAAGAAAAAAAAATAATTCAAGGGTGAAGAAGAGAGGCTATTATAGGCTATTATTTTAAAATAATAAATGTATTATTTTTATTCTAATTAATGTATTTTAAAAATTTTTACATTTTTATAGTATTACTAGATGTAATGATAGTATTAGAAAGAGCATTCAATAAAAACTATCTTCCAGATTGAATATGAATGTAGAATACAATTAAATGTAAGCAAATAATTATAATTACAATTTATTTTGAAATGTAATATCATCATTATATTATTATACAAAATTCAATAATAGAGACAAAATAGGAGTCGAAAATTCTTTTCAATTAATTTGTGAATGTTATAATGATATAGATCATTGTGGGAAATATAAAATATATTTACTATATTTAAAAATATAGAAATATTAAATCTAAAATTGTATCTAATCTAAAATTAAATTATTCTGAAGAATTAGAAACGTTTATAGTACTAATTAAAACTTATAGAATATTTTAAAACATATTTTATAATAATACTGTTTAGGTTAGAGTCGAAGTCTTTAACAATTATCTGTCAAACCGTATATTTGTACTAAAAGCGAACTAGCTATAATGATTTAGAATTACCTGAGGAGTACATAATTTATTTTCAAAAAATTTTATTATAACAGGAAGTAAAGTATATATAGACAGTGGTATTTTAATTATCTATCAAACGATGTTATTTGCTATAAGAACTGTAAACAAGTTTCTTACCAACATTTTTTTTAAACTATTAAGTTTAGAATAAATAATAGGTACGAATTATATTATGTGCTCGTAACAAATTTAAAAAATACATTTTATCATTATTTAGAATTTATTATTTTATTTTATAAATATATATAAGGAGTACAGATTTTCATACTTTGAATATAACCTCATAAATAATATATTATGGATAAAAATAAGAATGTAATTGAAAAAATTAATGTAATTAAAAAAAAAAATAATTAAAAAAACTTACGTTATAGCACAAAATGTAGATTATCTTTATAGTGGTAAAAATATTGCTGAATTACATAGAGTTGCTTACGGACTAATCGGATTATGACAAAAAATTGAATAGACGTACTTTTCAAAAAATTTTAAGCAAATGAAACTCTATTTGAAAATTATTTATCAAGTGATATAAGCAAATCATGATGTGCATTTTATGTAAAAAAATTAATAAATTGAATTATCAAGCAATGTTAAGTAAATGAAATTCTTTTTAGAAATTAACTAGGAAGTAGCAATGTGAATTAATCTCAAATAGTTGTTATATTTCATGATTATTTCTTTACAATTTTTGATTATTTAAAATATATTAAAAATATATATTGTTATATATACATAATAATTTTAATATATTATCATAAAAACTGTGATGGTATTTTACGATCTTGGAACCAGTGGGTCAGAACATATTGAATATATAATAACTGAAAATATGAAATGAAATACCGTTTCTGTCTTGCATTTTTATTAATAACTTTCTCAGATTACAGAATAATCTATAGTAATATTAAACATTGGAGAAATTGACAAAACTAACATATTCAAATTTAAATTGATGGTATAAATACAATATAAAGTTATTGTTACAGATTTATGAAGTATTTCTAATGAAAAAAGTATTTTTTAGATGCCAAAAAATATTAAAAGTCTATACATTTTAAAGATGTAGTTAATTTTATGTGCATAAATGAATAAATATATATATATATATTTTATATATATATAAAACTTCTTTATAATTAAAAGACTAATGAAATCGTGTTGTATCTAGTAACTTTTTATAATTTGTATTGCTTTATAATTATATTAACAGCGAAAACTCATTTTTTCATATACTATGAAGAACAATTTTTATATTCAAAAGAATCACTATAAATTCAATTGCTTTTAAACTATTACAAGTATATATAGTAATAGCATTGCAAAATGTTGTTTATTTTAATGTGATTAACAACTATTATCGGCTTCTTTATATTTAATTAAAATATGTACAATTTACAAGTATTAACAATATTGTCGTTATCACAAAACATTTCGACAATATTATTAAGACTACACATTATGCTACAATATGAACTAATAAATCAATAAGGAAAAATATTTTTATTATATATTATTTTATAATTAATTTTATTATACAATTTATGATATTTTTACTTTTACTTATTAAATGTAGATTTGTAAGCATTTGGTTACTATCACATGATAATAGTTTTTTATAGTTATCGTACAAAATTTAAACTATAATTTTTGTGCCTATATGTATAATAATAGAAGTAATTTATTTAATATAATATTAAAAAAAAAAATAAAAAAAAAAATATATATATATATATATATATACACAGATACATATATATATATATAGACACACGCGTTTGTGTTTTATTTTCTAAATTGTAAAAATAAATGTAAGCATTAGATTTCGTTATATGTTGAATTTTGGACATTTAATTAATTTACAATTTAAAAAAAGGAGTTGAATAAAATAAAATAATACATTTGATATTTAATACATAAATTAAATATTTTCTAAATAAAATAAATACATGTTGAAACAATGATACTAATTGATATGCTTTGTACACTACTACTACTAAATTTAATCAACATCCTAAATTCAATAACATAAAAATTATACATATAAATTTATTTGATATTGTACAATTATATTATAATAAAAAAAAGCCAACAAAATTATGTTGTATCATCGTAAATAAGTACGATATTTTGGACCAATTATTTATTTTTTAAATTTTGACATTTTTAAAATACATATACATAAATTATTAATTAATAATAATTGTACATTGTTATTTAGAAGTAAATTTTTGTTGATATTTTTAATAATTGAACTTATGCTATAATACAAAATTAATAATAGTTTCATATAAATATTAAAAGATAAAAAATGATTAATTACTCAATCTTACAATCATTTTTAGGTATGTATAATTTTCGCTTCTTATTTTTTTTCCTTTTTCAATACTTACATAAAAGGTATTAGCATTAAAATATACACAATATTAATCAGCTAGGCTGAAGCAATCATGTTTCAGCATATATTTTTTATTTAAATGTTGTATAGTTGTCATCTGTTTGATTTTGATTTGTTCTTAAAATTTTTCAACTATAGATCAAACAGATACTATATGTATGTGTGCAAAATTTTTTTTAAATATAGTTTTAAAATCTATGTATTTAATAAGTAATCTTTAAAATGAATATAAATGTTACCAAATGTTACAAAATGTCATACAAAAATTAAGGTATTTTAGTGAAATGAACATAAAAAAAACTATCGCAACTCTATTAAAGGTTTTTATATATCAAAAATATTGTTTAAATGTAATTGAATGTTGAAACCTATCCAATGCTATAATTATTTTTTTTTAAGGTCATGTCATATAAAGTCATGTTATAATTTAAACTGCGTTATATTATCAAAAACATTAACTATAATTACTATTAAAATTTTAATTTTATCATAGTATAAAAACTAAAATTCGTTACTATCGAAAGAAAATGTCATGATTTTCTTTTTACAATCTGCCTTCAATTTCGAGCTCAGTTACAAATTGAGTGGCATCAATGGCACATATTTATCGCTCGGTTGAAATTTGTACTGGGAACATAATCGAGCCCACTCAGCCTCAGCATATCCATTTCTGAAAATAATTTCATTTATATTACATTTTAAATAAATTATAGCATCTTTTATTTTTTTTTAAGACAGCCATCACCTTCTTAATGTGAAAAATCTGATGTCCATAACCAATTACATAAATATTTCGAAACGAGACAATTTTCCGAAGAATCAGTAATAATATTTTTTGAAAAATCAATAGCTTACTAATGTTAGTAACAAATCTATCTGAAGTTTAATCATAAAAATGTTTGATTTTATTTCAAATGATATATACATACAATCAAATCTATATTGTTATTAAGAATAATTAAATAGGTTTTATGTATAATAAAAATAATATAATATTGATGCAATGTAAAATTAATGTAGAGAATTTAATATGGATAAAATTAATTTTTATTTAATTTGAAAAAAAGAACAAATTTTTTTAGAAACATAGATAATTAAGTCGCATAGGTTTATAATGAGGCGTGCTTTAGGTGTATTCCAAAATAAAAAGTCTATTAGTAATATTGAAAAATACACCATTAACTATATTAAGGTACAATTGAAAACATTTTATTACATTGGATTTCAAAAATAAAGTGCGATTAAGCAATTTAGATTAAAAATAATATATTAATAATTTGTTAAATGCTGCTAAAAATAAATAAAAATATTTTAATATGAATTGTGAAAATAGAATTACTAATAATGAATAAGAATTTTAATGATATTCTTCAAAAGTCAATTATGTGTATATATGTTAATATATCAATTAAATGTATAAACACTACTTATATTTAATTATGTAAAGTAGAAATCATAATTATATTGAAAGTATAACTTTATAAGATTTTTTTGTCATATTTTATTTGTAATACAAAAACTATTCACTTTTTTTATAATTTACTAATTAATATAAATAATTAAATTATTGAGAAAATTAGAAATCCCTTTGGTGTGTGTATATATATATATAATTATGTACGTATTAGTGTAGCAAATGCTTATAAATTATGTAAGTTATATTATATAATCATATATGAAAGTAAAAAATTTCTTCTAATTCTACTATTATTTCCAATTTAAGAAAAGTCTATGTCGCCAGTTTCGAAAAAGTAATATTTTTTTCAAAACAATATCCTAGTCTAGCAATATAGATAACTTAAATTTTATTTTTTCTGTGTATATAAAAATGAAAGCTAAATAGCTGTTAATTAGAAGTATAAAAATTAATTTCCCAGCTCCGTCACCAACATATGCAACAAATGTTTTCGTAATAATTTATAAAACCAATTCATATTGCTCATGACATTCCTTACGTAAATTTGCTATCTTCTGCTGACACCATCTATCAATAGTTTGAAAAAATGATTTGATCATCGTTTTTGGTTTGTTCAACATAGCTATAATTTTCTTTTTTTTTTCAGAAATATATTTAGGATTTCTTCGCCACTCCAGTTCACTAAAATATTTATAAACATATTTCTATATTGTTTATCGTATCAATGCATTAAACACTTAAAAAATGAAATCATAACTTGATATACAGATTTTAATTTCAAATAAAATTTTTAATTTCAAAACTATGCGTTATTAATTTTCTTTAAAACTTATGTTTTTGATTTAAAAAATTATTTTATAATATTATGTATAAAAATTTGAATTAACTATAATTATGAATTAATAATGATTAATAAAGATAAATTAAAATTAATAATGAAAGTTAATAGCTAAGCATTTTTTTACTAATCCGTACAGACTTTTTCAATTTGCGACGGTAATGTTTATAATAAGCTAAAATTAATTTACTAGACATCTGTGGTATATTTAACAAATATTTTTTAATTTTGTGTATGAACATAACATTTGAGAAATTTACTTAATTATTGAATTTTAATATTTTACCTGTAATATTCTATACAGAATATAATTATGAAGTTGCATCCTAATTATTAAGTATACACTCATACAATCTTACAATGCATAGATTCATAGGAAACATTAGCTATATGCTTATTTTTTTCGTGATATTAATATTATTAACTAAAATTTATAATAACCGACGTATACTATATTTTTTTTATCTAAAATTGATTAAACTTCGATTCAATATAATGATAAGTATAAATCTGTATGAAGTCAATGTATTTTAGTTTAATTTTAGGCTATGCAAATTTGATTTTAAAATTAAGACATCAAATTAGTGTGACAATGAAGTCAAATAAATAACGAAAAGAACCCACCTCTGCCATTGAGAACAGGGGCGTCTCTCCTTGAAGCAGGTTACTTGTATGACATTGAAAAATAAGGCACCTAAAGTATTAGCTACTTCGGTATTAATAGTCTGCAGACATCTGCGAAATTTAGCATCACAGTCACAATGCGAGCGCGTAAACGGTGAGGTGTTGCAAATCCCATGGAGACATTTGTGAGCCGGTATCGTCTCCGGACAGTGATCGTGCTCCCGACAACAGGCATCCTCCGCTGCGTGGTCACCAAGGTCATCGTAAGATTTAGCTCGATTACCTGGACCACACCACTTCGTTCCTGGATACATGATACCGCCACCTGGTGCTTGATTCTATAATATTTATAATGATTTTTAATTCTTTATATTTTTTATACAAATTTAATGTTATTAAGGATGCTTTAAGTTCAAATAATATAGATATTTAATTATTTGTTCTCGATTGCATATATTCTAATAAAATAATATATTAAATGAAAATAAAAAAACAATTTTTCGCTTTGAACTTAAAAATAATTTATACCTTATATGAAAAAATATTTTTGTTTAGTTTAATAAATAAATAATAATAAATAATAATAATAATTCAATAATAGTAACGAAATGTATACTTTCATTATTCTATATAAATTAAAAATTAAATGCTTACATAACATTGCATTTCTTATAAATTATGTATTAACATTTTATTTATTACTAAATTAAATTTCAAATCAGTATTTAAATTTGAATACCTAAATTATTAACCTAAATTATTATCTAAGTAAAGATTCATATTATACTATACATATATATTATCAAGATTATTAACATATAAAAATATACAGAATGTATAACATGCATAATTGAACAATTTAGATTATAATGGTAATAATATTGCAAATATTATACTTATTATTATTATTATATAATTATATAATATAATTATATTATATATTATATAATAATTATTATCTAATAATATATTAATATATTAATATATAATATAATTATATTATATATTATATAATTATATAATATAATTATATAATATAATTATATTAATTATTATTATACTTATTATAAATATTATAAATAATCTTAGAAAATTTTTATTTTGATAGAAAAATTGATTGTGATGGATTGTAAGTATTACAATCGTTTCAAAAAATATTTCACGATAAAGAGTGAAAAAGTAAAATAGGATAATGTGATTAATACAAATGACCAAAATATGTGCAATTACCTTTCCTTTGCTGCGGGAGGCCTTGCACGTTTCCTCAAGGTCAGCAACAAGATTATTGGAGATTTGGCGGACTTTTTTTGGGTCTGAGCCCAAGACCATGCGCTGAATAACTCCTCGATCGTGATAAAGTGCACAGAAGGGTGCGCCGGCATTCAGCTCTACCATGCGAGTCATCGCCAGGTCTGCGACGAGAACGCTCGAGCTAACGAGGGATACGCCCGAGGGTAAAAGTACCGCTGATATCAATAGAATCGTCAGCATCTTGAAACATGGTGAGCAACACTATTAATTCGGTATGTAATAATTTTACGTAATGCTTATTCCATTTAATTATCTTCGATTTGATGAACTTATGTTACAACAAAGAAGTTTTGTAAATAACAAAAAATTAAGTACACTTTACATGAACATACCGAAGGTCTGTGTTATTTTATAACAATCAAACCGTAATATTTAAATAATATATCATGTCAATATATTTATATATTCAATTATATTTGAATTTTAAAACTGACCATATTAATATACTTCGGTGTATACTTATTTTTATTTACATTCGATCCTAATTCAATTATACTTATTCTAATTTATTTTTATGTTTAAACATTTTTAGATTTCACCCATTTACCTTACTGTAATATCTAAAAATCTTTCACTATTTAATAATTCTAATCAAATATACAAATATAGGTTAGTACATAAAAAACAACTTTGTATTAAAAAATGATAAAGGTTAGCAAAAGTATAGGCAATTTATGCGTAATTATTTTTTTTATTTTTGAAATAATATTAAAAATTATAATACAAATAAAAAATTATGACTTCTATCATACATTTATAATGTATTTTTCGTATTTAAATTATGTACCGATTATGAAAATAATTATATCAAACATAATATATTAATGAATAATATAAATGATTAATGTACTGAAACATTTATAAAATTTTACATATTATAAAAATATTTTTATAATCTTATATTTCTTATACATTAATCATATTTATTATTAATTTTTAATTATAAATATTTGAATATGTTTTCAAGAACTCAAAATATGATTTGCTACATTAATATTAAAAAGTATAATGACAATAATGTATTACGATGGATTAAAATAGAAATAAAAGTATTACCCATTCAAGTAATATTAATTTAAATTATCTTATTAAATCATTATCTCTTGTTACATGTTCAATGAACACTAGTATAGTCAATTTTATAATGACATAAGTAATGATAGTTCACAACTATGCAATATTGTATAATAAATATAAATTCGATAGCTAAAAATAATTTGATCACTTTCTATGATTGTATAGAATTATTTAGACAATAATTATATTATATATAATATATAGTGTATCAATTCAATAAAATTCAATAAAAAATTATTAGCCCGTGTATAATAATAATAATTGTCTTAGTTAGGTTATAAAAACTGCAGAATTACATAAAAATAGAAAAATAGTAGGAATAAAGAAAATTTATTGATAAAAAGTAATAAGTATTGAAAAAGATATAAAGAATATAAAAAATCTCGACCAAATAAATACGTTAAATACTGATACACTGTGGTAATATAATATCTAACGATAAATATAATAAAGTAATGCAATCATAAGATAAAAATTCAATCGAATAGATATTACACCGATCGCCAGAATATATCAGGATGCTAATAATTGTTTTATTAACTTTCCACTTGCATTAAACCAAAATCTATGTATACCCTGAACTAGATTGAATAAATCTCGAAAGTATATTGTGAAGGCGATTGAAGTCTTTTCGAAATTTTTGCGTTTTTACGTATTGGAAGATTGTAAGTACACCTTTTAAACTGAATGCTTGACATCACACGAGTTGAATTAAATTATACACGAGTGCTTGATGAGAATTACATCGCTACGACACATAATGATGCTGTACCATCATTTTGACTTAGAAGATGATTCGTCTTCATTTATACTCCTTCAAAACATTTTAATCACGGGATAAGGTTAGTTTTTTTTTTAGTGCAGTATCAAGTTTTTAATATAATAACTTATAATTTTAATGCACAGATTATTAAAATTATCAGCAATATATTTTTTACTTATTCTTTTACCCTTTGTAATTTATTTGCAATGGAATCATCGATTTACATTTATAAAATCTTCAGTGAAAAATGTCAATTAGAAAATATTTTATATGTAATTGTAGACAAAAATTATATTTATTATTTAAACAATTCGAAACATTCATACATGCTGTTTAAATAAATATTTCAAGTATAAATTTATTCATTCATAATTAAAAATAACTTATACGATATATCATTAATATATTAACATTTATTGTATGCGATTCATTGTATTCAGTTCTTTACTTCGGTATCAAAAGTAAGATACTCCGAAAAGATTTTTCCGTACATTTGAACAATAAGTATATACATATTTTAATTATATCGACAGACGCTTTTTGATTAATATATTAATCAGTTTTTAGAGAAATATAACATTAAATAGTAAAATTTCATTGAAAAAATGTAATTTTCTTTTTGTTTAAATTAGCAATGAATAATTAAGATTTAATTAAATCTATAAATTTTAAGCAAAACAGAAAATAAACCTTAGAAATTTAATTTAAATGATTAAATTAAATAAATTTTAGTTTTGAAAAGGTATATTACTAAATTATAAGAACTTTTTAAAATATATTTCATATACTTCAAATATATATTTATAATGCTCTTTAGATTTGAGTTTAAAAAATAAAACTTAAAAATATGCAAATGATATATTTTCAATATGTTGGTATCAACAAATTTTCAATTTTATATGATTTCAAAAATAAACTAAACAATTATTCTGACATTATTGAATTTAAACATACAAAATATTTATATAAATTTTTTTGATTTTCGTAATTAAAATTAAAAACACCATATCTCGTAAGAATTTCTGTTATATAATTGATAATGAATACTAACGTACATTTAAGATGAATGTTTAAAATGAAGAAAAATATATAAGTAAACTTTTTACTATGTTATTAGCATATTTGGCTGATTATGATTTTGTAATATATTTTAATACGATTTGATAACTGCTAATAAATATGCTACCTTTTCATTCATTTTAAAATTTATACGATTTATGACTTGATTTTAAGCGTTTTATAAATTATTCAGTATACAATAATATGTTATTACACTAATTCATTATTCATTTTAATCTTAATTTTATAACTACATTATTTTCTTTAAAATATATTTTTATTTTGTGGTCAAGGTAAAAACTGTAATATTATGAATATTTTAATAATAATTTACAATCGATTAATTAAATTCATTCATTTAGTAAATTCTTTAGTAGATAGATCTTCAAAAAAATATGCGTATATATACATTCCATATTCTAAATTGATAAATATATAAACCTTCCCATCTATTTTCCACTTCACATGGATATGTACATTATTTTTTACTATAATTTTATATCTGCACATTATTAAAATCTTTAAAAATTCTTATATATACATTGTAACTTTTTTTTATTTATTATATATTAAAAATTACAAATAAAATAATACAAAATGACAATTTTTATATACTAATTTGATATAAACTATTTAGATTTATGATTCTTTAAAATTACAGTTCCACTTTGTTTATAATAATAATAGGAATTTTCAGATTTTAAAAATGTATGTTATTTAAAATTTATACCTATAGAAAAAATAATACTTATCAACATTTAAATTGCAAAAGGAAAGTCATTAAGCATACATTTAAATTTAAAAATCTGGTTTTCTTATTATATTATATTAAATAAAATTTGTCTTAATATTTAAAAATCTTTTATTTATTTAAAAACTCTTTTTAGTGAAATGCATGCCTGATTTATTGAGATTTGTGTTGTAATAATTACATATTTTTTTCATGGATAAAAATATATAACCAAGTTTTTTAAAGAATAATATTTTTTATTTACCAAATATGAAATAAAAGATAACTTTTTGTGTTTCCATATTGAAAGATAATAATAAAACTATACCGAAATATAAAAGTAATTCTTACAATTATGTTATATTTAATTTAATAATAAAATGCCTAATAATCATTTATTATCTGCACAGGCTTGACATTAGCTACATTATTTTTATATTCAATTACTTTTCGCTCCTATAATAGACGCAGCAGTATTCTTTAACTACTAATGTTCAAGTTAACGATACGGTTCTAATAATAATAATTTTAAATAGCATTCTTTATGTATTTAAAATTATAAATTTAACATATTATATTTTATGTATTTGAAACTTACTAAGTTATGAGGTTGAAATAAACTCAATACTCACCGTAATAAGATAATTTATTTTACGTAGGCAAACACTTTTAATTATTCAAAGAAAATTACAATACAATAAATCTTTTTCATAACTTTCAAACTTAAAGTTGTTTTTAAGAAAGATTTAAGGAAACAAAATGCAAGTATTCTTTCTGTGGCCAAGAATTTTGTAATACGATCAGAGTTTCTTTTTTAACATCACCCACTATATTTTGTTCCTTGTTAATTTTTGCGACTTTCTTTTCAGGATACGAGACTATGCTACTGTTGCTACTACACTACCAATAGCTCTCGCATATATGTTGAAAAAGATGTTTACAAAGACAGTAAACGGTAGGCTATCTTTTATGCTCTTCTTTTTTTCTTCCCGCACTTGTAATGCATTATAAATTTTGCTTGCGGAAAACAATCCACGTGACTAAGACAATTCATTGAACATAATTCCAAAACTGTTTACAAATTCTTTGTTTCTCGTTCACTCTTATTGGTGAGGTTAAACATCATGTGACAGCAAATGAGTTGGTGCAGTTGTATTCGGAAATTTATGCATCAATTATATTCTTTTAAATAGTTGAAAATTTTGATGAATGATTATTTCAAAAGTATTTATTTTACAAAATAGCCTTAAATTTCATTGTGTTAAGTAATTGATTTATATTGTATAACATTTGTATCAATAAAAACTAAAAATATTATTAACAATAAAAAAAAAAATTGATAGAAATGTTATAGGAACACAAAATAAAGTATGTTAAACAGATGATTCAGTATGTAATAGAAAAATAAAAATTAGCAAGAATATTTTTTCAAAGATTGCTTAGAAAAAGTAAAAATATGTAATAAATATTTATTGTATTTATGAATGTTTAATAGATTGAATAAAATAAATAAATATAATCCTTTTTTTAATTCAATAATTGATTTTATTT